TAATTACATTCGCGTGACCGGAATTCGATTTAAAATGCGGTTTTTATTCTTGCAGCAAATCAACAGCGACTCGTTGTACAGTCCGAAATTAAAATTATCTTTAGCTCGAATCAGAGAAACATTGATTATCTCTGAGAACGATACAATGGAAGAAAATGGCAATGTAAATTATGATAAAGTAAGACAACCACAGCTTTCATCCATTGTGAATTTGTCACAGCCCGAGAAACTTCACGGACTAACGGAACGTATTGTAGCTGTCGAGTCTCTGATATTTCTAGGACAGCAATACGAAGGTTTAAAACCTTATTTAGAACATCTCATTGCCAACAGTCCTCAGAGAGGATTTTTACATCAATTTTATATGCAGACGATAGCGTCTGCTGCAGACTTAAGAAAGCCAGTCTATATGGCGGTAACATCACAAGCGTTTGACGTTGCAAATATTTTGAATTTAATGAACAAAGTCAATTGGGAAGTGACGGACGTCATGTCTCAACACAGTAATTACATTGATGCACTAATCCAAGTGTGTGTTAAACAAAATTTGTTAAACTATATTTGTTAAACAAAATTTTGTCAGTCATAACATTGAACTATTATTTGATATTTTTTCATAGGAAGTGTGCACTTTGAATGAGAGACTTAATACTATTGGAACGTACATACCTTTAAATACGAATATATGCAATGCAGTATGGGAAAATGTGGCTCACTTAATTACACATGCTTTAGTAGAAGGGTATAGGAAATTTATATATATGATTATATCTTTCTGAAAGTACTTAATATTCTAAAAGAAGTACATCCAATTAACAGAAATGTAATTTTGTCACTCTAGGTTTTCCAGTGCTAAAAAATGTTCGAATGGTGGTAGGGCTTTAATGCAACTCGATTTCACGCAGCTAAAGTCAAAATTCGAGAAAGTGACGTCGTTGAGACCTATGCTACATAGGGAGTATGTTGAATTGTACATCAAAGCCTATTATCTTCCTGAAAATAGTTTTGAAGAATGGATTAAGGAACACAAGGTACCTATAATATTCTCTCTCTCTCCCACACACACACACACACACGCACGCACGCACGCACGCACACACGCACACACGCGCACACACACACACACACACACACACAGAGGCATTTTTTTATTCTTTACCTACAATACTAGCATATAAAATGTGTCATTATAACTTGCAGGAATATTCAGTTAAACACTTAGTCGGTCTGATTTCGGCAACGTGTCAAAATAATAAGAAAACGCGGCAACGATTGATAGCACTTGTGGAAGAACAGCGGCCCAATAGATAGCATCCAACCATTTATTATAAATCCGTACAAGATTATATCGAAATAGGAAGTACTTGAAATATTTATCAAAATCAGGGGTACGATAATCTTGTTGTTAATTGTACAGTATATAGAACAATTTTTAAGTACGCGTTACAAAACTGATTAGATATATTCGTGTTTAAACTATTTTATGAAATTTAAATCTCTAAGAGAATCACAATCACGAACCAAGCAAGTCACATTTCAATATATTTATGAAGTATTCTGTATATGAATCTCGTAATTCTAAGAACGCTTTTACAATGTACTAACTGTAGCTCTAATGTATATATTACAAATGTTTTAACATATACATGATATTTTAGAAAATCTATACAGTTAACTCACATACGAATTAGTACGATGAAACTTTAGTTATTTTTAATGCCAAGGTATTTCTCGAATGTTGTCGGTTATTGAATCTCATTTATGAATCTTGGAACTTACAATTGAACTGCAGTATTAACACGCGACATCGTGGTAACTAAAAACTCGAAATGTTACCATTGATTTATAATGAAAGTTATATGTATATGTATGATTTGTATACATTGCGGCAATAATTTGAGAAAAAAATATTCTTTAAGTATGATATTGTTATTAAAATATCAATATTTTAATATTTATCTACTTTAAGAATTTTATTTAATATAACTTTATTTTTGTAAAAAAATGTAAATCACTTTTTTTTTTAAATTATATACTACTATATAAAACTTCGATAATAACAAGTGTATGAAGTTAAAGTTCTGAAGTTAAAGTGGAAAATATGGAAGATGTGATGCGATTAATATCTCTTTTTACACAAAACTAATTACGATTGTCGAAATAGTAAAACCATGACTCCCCAATAATAAATTTTAACAATATTATTTATTTTATTTTACTACTGGTTCAGTCTTATGTAAATTAGGGATAATATATATTAAAATAAACTAATAAAAAAAAAGTAAACTAAAATATCCTTAGTGCTTCTATACCCATGAATTATTATCATAAGAAATTAGTACATGTTCATTGCATGGTACATATGTATATATACCACAGCATGCACAATTTTAAGAAATTTTTATTATACAAATGATAGTAATATATAATACAAGTACATATATACTTTCTAGCTTCGTCGATTTCCGATTTCGTAAAAATTGCTATTTATATATTGCATTTATTATATATTTATATTCCATATATACACCATAAAACCAAAAAGCTCCTGTTGCACCAGTAAATGCTCCTAATCGAATTTATCTTAATGCCCGAGATTCTTTGCGAACAATCCATTCTTCTTATCCCGAAGAACACAGATTGCTCGTTGATTTAAGGAAGATTCCTAAAGTGTTAATTATAATTTATTTGAATAGGTATATGTAAATAGCTTTATAATATAACATTGGAGGGCCATATAATTAAGAGTGTAACATACTATATACACTATTCAAACAATAGGAATAAATATGTAAATTAACAGAACAGTATGGATTTTTTCGTTTATTGCGCTAAGTCTTCCTTTCTTCTAAGGCAGATATTTCGTTCTCGGAAATATTCTATTCAATCATGGTGCATTAGGAATTCTCTGGCTGATAGCGTCGATCCATGTGTAAGCTGACAGCGTTGATTCACGTGTAATATTATTTCTTACATTCCGAAGCGCTTTAATGAGCCTTAAATTTTTTTGTATGGCCCCTGATAAGATGTACTTATCAAATGTCGTTAATTTTCTAAATGGCAAATCACACCTGGATATTCTTTCTTCTAATCGAAAAGATGCGTATATGTATGTATATATATATATATATGTGTGTGTATGTATATGTAAATAAAAGGGATGACATGCTACTGTATGCTTTTTATCTTGAGTAAAAATCTCCAGCGCAGTTCTCAAGAGCAATCAAAATTTTAGAGTCTCTAACATTGATAATATCAAATTGCCTAAAAATCGTAGTAAATAACACATCTAAATATTTACGAATTTCTTCTATTCTGCAAGACAGTGCAACATAATGTCATAACAAACCTATTTGTTTACCGAACTGAGTTTACAGACTACGTATTTTAGAGTTCGAGATTTATAATCATTTATTGGCCTTTTCATTACTTTATCTCTTAGCTCCAAACACGCGAAATTTATCAAGTTGCTACTCGTGGATGTAATTCACCGTGTAACAAAATTACAGTAATTATCCCTACAAACTAACCATATAGATTTTTCTGTAATGCTGTAAAATTCTTACTATGTTCAGGCTTTGGATATTAGTGAAGCAAAATAGTCGATAATCCTGAATTATCTCTCTGACTTATCAGACTTCAATATGTTGAAAAGTGAAATAGTTTATTTACTTAATAAACTAAATTTATTGAATAAACTAATAATATCATGTAGGATATACCTTCATTGTGTATATAAAAAAATTTAGAATTTATTTTCTTTCTGAAACTTATATTGTCTTCTTGGAGCGACTCTTTTCCTTGCCTATGTATTTTTCTTTTTATCAAAACACCATTGAAATAATATTTTCTATTAGTCCTCGAGAAACTTCGTATATATATATATAATTCGTTATTATCATCTTGCATTTTTTCTTTATAGCATATTAGTGTGGATATATGGAACACATAAGACGCTCGACATTAGCTGGACTATATCAAACATATTTATATACATAAAACTTCATCAATTAACATTATAACATCACATTTAATAATGAGAAAATGACTTCTGCTAAAGCTGATGGTAAAAACGTAACACAATTATATAATATATATTATACGATTAGAAAGGGTGCACAATAATGATAGCGCTACTTGAAACATTGTTAAAAAATGTAGAAATTACGTTCACGAAATTGTACAATACGTAGCCATAGAGTGCAAAGTAATACGTCTAATGTTCTCTGGGAAACCTCCGTATTTCCAAAGCCTGATTATGATTTTTATACAGACGATGCACGCTCAACCTCACACCATCTCTTAAGTAAGATACTTAACATTAATGGTACGGATGCTGAGGAAGTTATACAAACTTACGTCTGAAAAAATCTCTTGTTATAATCCAAGTAGAAGATTATTCATATAACTAAAAACTAAAACGTTTCTCTAACAGTCTAATTCGCTAATGTATCATGGAATGTAAACAAGGTGTCAATGCATTCACAAAATACAAGGTATGTATCATCACTGTTATTTACTTGTAACTTAATTTGATTCGATAATCATAAACAAACATTTTGTGAACACTTGTTAACTTCTATGAATCAGTTATGAATCTCGAAGTATATTCTTACTAGTCTTACTCTATAGATTATGCTATGAGAAATGAAACGATTTCGGAAACATTTATCTCATCCGTTTAAAATGTCCTTAACGACCCGATCGTTGCCTAGTACTAATATGCTTTATTATCCGATATTCACTTAAATAGTAAAAAATATTGGCAGATTCAATGCTGTTATGTCTTTGAAACATTGTTTTCTTTTCGTTTTCTTTTTTGGTTTTTGAGCTCACAATATCAGTAAACCGATAACTCCTTATTGCATTATTTCTTATTCTGCGATTTGTGCGTAATCATAACAATCGGTAAACAATATGAAAGAGATAAAAACTAATTTAAAAACATACACAAGTTTGGAAGACATCACAAAAAGAAAATAAATGAAAAGTTTTTCGGCAAAAAACTCTAAACAACAAGGATGTTTATCAACAGAATCTTGCTGTACTATATAAAACCTCGATATAGGTATTTTAAATTTATTCACGTATTATACTCACGGGCTATATGTATGAATATTATATAATACATTAGATAGCATTTTGACAACAAGATATTACGAAGTTAAAAATCTCTAGCTGCATTCAATTAAAAACTTGAGGTACTTTCCGCTCAAATAACAGTTAGATAGATATTAGATATGATCCTGCACACACACAAAGGTAAGTTATACAGTATACTAATCCTTGTGAATCCGTGAACCTCTTAATATCATAACTAGATTCTCGTAATTTTTTTTAACTTGTACAATTTGTGTGTCTCATGAAATAGTACACTTGTGTGAATATGTTACATGTACATAGAGCGGTATTAAACCCGCTAGCATAATTTTATCCGGTAATTATTTCCATGAAATGGGATAAATAGCTAGTATAACAAAGGTCACACGTAAACCCTTGGTACCTCGTTTACAATAAATTACTATTCCCCTAGTAGCGATATTATTGGAACACACCATTAATAGTCGTCTTTATATTATTCCTTTTTTTCCTTTTTGCAACTGTACTAGTAAAAAAGATGTCGTCAAATGTATCATTGTCAGTTGTTGTTCGTCTTGATGTGGAGCCTCCATATGATAAATTAAAATAAAAAATACAAAGCAAACGTATATTCTCTGTATATATAACTAATTTGTGAAAAATAAATATTTGCTCATAATTTATGATTACTGGTTAACCACGTAAGGCCTTCATAAAGCCCGTCTCCCGTTGTGGCACAAGATGGCTGAACGTACCAATTTCTATCTCGTATCCTAGTTAATCCCAGTTTCTCTTGTATTTCGTGCGGTTTCATTGCTAAAGAAAAACAAAATATGGACGAAAATTCGTATGTTGTGCTAAACTATATAAAGATAACTGTAGCACATATATACAATGCATCTACTTTACTATTTATAATTACTAACAAATATCGTAATGTAAATATGACTTACCATCCGGAAGATCTTGTTTATTAGCAAAGATTAAAATTATTGCATCACGCATTTCCCTATCATTAATGATTCGATGAAGTTCTTGACGGGCTTCGTCAATTCTATCTCGATCCGCACAGTCTACTACAAAAATAAGTCCTTGCGTTCCTGTATAGTAATGACGCCATAATGGACGTATTTTATCTTGACCACCTACATCCTAAAATTAACAGAAACGTTTCATTTAATTAAGAGCAAATAATTTACACTTTTACAGAAAAGCTTCATACTTACCCACACATTAAATTTAACATTCTTATAGGTAACTGTTTCTACATTGAATCCTACAGTTGGTATAGTTGTCACAGACTGTCCTAATTTAAGTTTATACAATATTGCTGATATAATTACATTAAGGAAATAAATTTATACAAAAGACGAATTGAAATATTTTTTTATATATTACCATACATTATATAATATACAATTGGTTCAATTATAAAACTGTACAGACAAATTATGTAACGTCTTGCTTAACGATAGAAAAAAAATCAAAAGTACAATAAATGTAGGAATAATAAACATGATTACGAAATAAATAAGACTCGTGATTACAGTGTCGCAAAGGATACTAGTTTTTCCTGCTGCATCCAGTCCTAACATGAGGATACGCATCTCCTTGTTGCCAAAAATCTTTGACAACAACTTGCCCATTTTGCCAGCTGTATTCTACGCACCCGGCACCTGTACTTCACAAAGTGCAACAATGTATAATTAACGGTTTGTCTGAAATCTTAAACTTATCTAACAACATCGCGTCATTCTGTCATCGCGGTTCTCGGATATTTTCTGTCATTACCACAATAATCGAATACATGGATGCATTTAACAAAACGCATTCACATACAACAAGTTTTGGGACGATATTAAGTTAAGATTTTGCGGACGCGTAAAAACCAACGGTAACGGATCGGTCTGTCGCGTAGAGGAAAGAAGAGCGAAGCTCGCCGTATCGTATTCGTGTCAAGCTTGGCGGAAATCGACGTGGAAATCGTTTAAAGCCCACGTTTAAATCCCACGTCTTATCTGTGCATTACCGCTCTTGATCGCGCGGAATCGATCGACGGTTACCTCGGCGTCTAACCTCCGCTACGAATCTCTCATCGCGGTCGGACGTGCACTGGAGATGACCTGCGGGCGCGACGCGACTTCGATTCTTCGGTAACGCGGATAAACAGAGACGAGGCAGCGGCCAACACTTCTCCTAACCTATCCTATCTGCGTGCGCGAACATCATCGGCTACCTTTTTTCCGCCACTGACCGCCACCGCCACCACCATAAGCACAGGGTGTAATCCTCAATGCGTCGCGCGGTATTTGCTCGTTTTAGCTGCACTTTCTGCATTCAAAATAGATCGCCTCGTTCGTATCCCTCGCATTTTCCCTCCGTTTGTTCCCACTATAAGATCGAAAAAAGTATTATTTGAGTAAAAACGACAGCTTGATTCAAAAACTCGCGCGTTGATAACATTGGCTGCTTTCCATTTTGGTGACATAAGTCGACATAAACATCATTTTTATCTTTCTTGGCATTGAGTGAGTAACAAAGGTACAAAAAGGTGTCGTTTTACCTTTGTTACTTACTGAATGCCAGAAAGATAAAATGATGTTTGTGTCGACTTGTGTCACTAAATGAAAAGTACCTATGTGGATCTGTAGATGTATAAATGTATATTTTATATAGAAAAAATTATTTTGATGATAATTTTATACAGAATTATTTCGTAGAATAATCGTGAATGGGTAGCAATCATATATAACTTTTTCCTTAGGACGGAAACGTGAAAAAAGAAAAATTTCATCTTCGATGATGGTAAATATTTTTACTCTTCATGTTTCCGTTTTAGGAAAAAAAGTTACATAATCGCTTCCTGGTCTCTGTATATTTATTATTTTATTTAATCCGGTCTATATTTGAATTAATGAAACACGTCGCTTGCAGAGAGATATAATACCTATCCTTTTAATTTGATCTGTACATTTAAAGCGCATTCCTGATCGCTTTTGATTAATTTTGGTATGGTATTCAAAATGAAACGGACGTATAATCAAGTTACAAAAAGGAGAGGAGGAAAGGGAAAGAAATGTGGGAAATACAAACCGAAGAAACTTATTCAAAAATTTTATATTTAAAACTCTATTATTTAAAAATTTATTTGGAAGGAGAGTGTAACAAGTGCAGCTGAAACATACCTATGGAACGCGCATATATTCAAGTCGTCGAGATCGACAGCCAAGGTGCAGAAAGTGCAAAACGAAAGGAACGAACGGACGGACTGCTCCGCTCCGCTCCTGACTCCACTCCGCGCCACCCGAGACGGAAAGGCGTGTTCATGTGTGGGCGATGAGACAGGAACGAACATTTTATCGGGCTGCGCTAATTCGTTCTACACGTCAGGAATGTCAGAATTGTAATACGTACCAGGTTCTAAGAGGAACAGATAACTAGCTAGATAAAAGAGCTTAGAGTAAGAAGAGTCGAAGACGGAGATAGAATTCGCTTTGACGTTCGCGGGCTATCGATCGTTCACGACGAAGACATTTCCAGACAGTCGTGGAAAAAATGTACTTTCGTTTGCAGCAAGTCGCGCTCGCGATGGCTCGCGATGGCTCGCGATTCGCCGTTTCGAGCGGTGGCCTATGGCATGCGGTTGCATGCGGTCAAAAGGAGGGGTTGAGCAGAGATGAGAGAGACGGAGAGACGAAGAGATCAGCAGAGACAGAGGGAGAGGGACAGGAGCGCGAACAAGCGCGAAGCAACTCACCGAAAAACATCTGCAGAGTAAAACGAGTACTTGACTGTTGATAATACTACACGGACACATCACAATAATGCTGCGCATAACTCTCTGTCGGTCGATTTAACCGTTTCTACCTGGTACGCTCACGAAAAAGCGTTATTTCATCGTCGCGTCAGACACGACACGACACGGCAGCATTGTCGTCGTCACGTCCCTCCGTAAAGCCGTAAATTACAGGAATTACGGGGCGCGCGCCGCGCAGCGCCGCGCAGCGCCGCGACGTTTGCGTCCTTTGCTTTGCAGTCGTTGGCCGGTTTGCGTGACACCTCGCGCTATCGCACGTCGCTCAACGAAACTAACAACCTTCGGCGAGATCTCGGTAGATATTACAGAATTGTTTAGTTCTGCACTTTCCGCACAAGAGAATGTAATAAGTATATGTATAGATTTCCACAATAAATTGTAATACGATTGGTAGGAAATTGGATTAGCAAGAAAGTGATCATGTTGAAATTTTCTTGTTCCTAGTCGTTGTTTTCTTCGCACGCTCTATAAATTTTAAGGAATAAAAAATGTCGAATATGAAAGTGTGCATATACATACATATATATATATATGCGTCCGTTGCAGGTGTACTCTCCACATAAGAAATACAGTTTGGCGGTATCTTTGTTTGGTTAGGCCGGAAAAATGAATGACGGATCGTGATCGATTCGAAGTATGATCGACCGCGGGGTTTCGTCCTGGTCCCCACTACTGGACTCATCATTAAGGCGATGTAGTGGGACCTGCCTTAGATGCCCGAGAAAGTATTAGATCGGGATCTTATTTAAACGGAATTCGTGTAACTTGGGTGCTTACGAGAAACCGCGCGAGACCCGTGAGACCTCTGGGGGCGAGCCGCCACAACAGTAATCACACAATGATCATTTTAGTTTCAACAGTGGCAAATAACAAAGATTCACTGTTACACTGTGTCTCTTGCTGGAAAACATCCTATATTTGATATATAAATAGTAGTTCGAAAAGGAGAAGAGAAGCGCAAAATACAGAAAGCGCGTCTAAAGCGAACGTACATTTGTAACTTTTGTAAACTTTTTGGAAATAGAAAGATCTATTCACTTGAAAGTATATAAATAGTATCTGTACATATTATATGTACATAATATTCTCCATTTTTTCTTCAATGCGTTGGAAATAAAGAAAAATAGTAAACACATATTCAAACATTTAAAGAAAAAAACAGATAACAAGCAAAGTTTAGAATACATATGGCTAAAGCTGGTACAGAAAAAACTTCAACAGTAAGACGTATGCAATAGACAGACAAATCGGCCAATTACAATAGAAATAATAATAATATAAGCAGTAACAAATCCAAAATATTGATCTGCTTCCCAGGTAGAACACGGAGTCATAATTAAGTCATAATGATATCACAGAACGTCATCATGACGTCATTTGATACCTAAAAATTGACTTATAACTCGCTTTTAAGTGACGAATGAGGTCATAATGATGTCCTCATGACTTCCGTGTTCTATTGTACTTGGGTTACTGCGCTTATGTTTTACTGTTAAAATTTTTTTGTGTGCCATTAGCTTTAGAGTTATAGATCGTCACACTTTTTCTTCGGATAACACACATACTACATTGTCTCTCTACAAGTCTACAACTTCAATACATCTTTATGATTTATAAACTATTTCAATTCCCGCAAGTTATACACAAAAAACGAGAAAGTAAAGCGAAATTTTCTGAAATTTGTGAAATCTGTTGCGGGAAATAATCTTATCGAAATACGAAGTATTGAAAACGATTGTTTGGAGAAATAATTATTGAAAACAGTTACGAGGAAAGCTTCTTCTCGAAGCTTGTACAAACATTCTTTTTACAGATGTGATTTCTGCCGAGTCTATTCGTATTCGTAAAAAAGATTTCATCGCAGATTCCTCTTGTTAGAAGATATTCAATCGACATCAACTATATATGCACTCAGAGAAAAAAGTCGTATCAGTAACTATAAATTTGTAGTGAAATAGCGCCTCAACTATATACATATTATTAAATTCTAATAAGAATACTAGATTAAGTGAACTAAGAAAATATAGTACATTAACCATATAATCAATTGATAAATGGTTAATATTACTATATTTTCTTAGTTCACTTAATTTACTTATTGTTGTTATTAAAGCTTTATAATACATAGTTACAAATTTGTGTATGCATTTCTTATTTATTTTTGTCTTCCAAGTTTGAAACCAACGCTGCGCCTTTTATCGTAAGCGAGTGATTTCCTCCTTAGGGGAAACTGAACTCCGCTACGTCCCTCTGGTGACAAAGCCGCGTACTACTCGTACTGAGCGACCCTTTAAAAATTTTTGTCTAAACTAGAAAAATATAATTGTTATATCTATTTGCATGAAGTCCAAGTAACTACTCAATGTAGTTGAGTCACTATTTCACTACCAATTAATAGTGCATACAATTTGTTACCGCGACTATATTTTTATAATATTCAGCACTACTTTAGTTTCTATTACTTTGTAAAACTAGTTACAGGTACTTCAATTGCAAAAGTTGTCAAATTTATAGTTGCTAGAAAATTATTTCGTTTTCTCTCAGTATGGATGTAGCATAAGTAGCATTGTTATAATTTGACACAATGTGACTCTTAAGCAAAACACAAACCATCGTGATATTAAAATGACTCCAAAATGATCATTAAAAGTCACTTTACAATTATTTACGATTCATTTTTGCGTCATTTTGACGTTATATGATTTGTGTTGTTTTGTTTGAGATGTTGCATTATATTTATATTGTGTTGAGTGCGAAATTGTAATATTGATGTTATGCTACTTTTAGATGATGTCGATTGGCTGTCGAAGCTCACGATCTCTCTTAGCAAGCTGTAATAGCGTCTTCAAAAACATTTCCAAATGGACTTTGTTATCGAAAATGCCGTATATACCATAGAATATATACAACATAAAACTTGCAGACAAAAAAAGTAGCTTTGCAATCGTTGTAAGATTCTTCAATATAAGTAATTGATTTATATACATTTATGGATCAATTCTAAGTAGAATCGTAAGACTCGTAACGTGTTCTCGTAAAACTTGTATATATAAGAACTTATGACTAGTATTCTAATTTTATGCGTATGTATCGTATAAGACACACGATTATTCGTAAATATCTACGATTTTTTGTAAATTTTATGGCTAGTAAGAAGCTGTCTGTAAAAATATTGTATAAAGGTATAAGCGTTTAAAAATTCTTACAAGTCTTACAAGAATATATTACGAGCATTACGATGTTGCTTAGAATTTAGGCATTAGATTCAGTGAGGGACTAAGGGCAACACCGATCGTATTAAAGAGTTTTTCAATTGCAAAGTTGATTTTTCTGCCAAGTGCAACCGATGGCGCGAGTTTTTTTCACGACGTCATTCGTTCAAAAGTTTGTAACGCTCGCGAAGGATTTGTACGTGGCGTGATATGGCGTGGGCGCCGACACCTCGTTTTATCTGACGCGAAACGAGGCGCGGCGCGACGCGGTGCAGCGCGGTGCGATGCGGCAAAGTAAGGCGAGGCGAGGCGCGGCGCGGCGCGGCGCGGGAGGCGAGGCGAGGCGAGGCGAGGCGAGGCGAGGCG